AAAGGAATACAAGATTTTTAAAGAGCTTCGTCAAGTGGGATGCCTGTATTAAATGCTGCCAAATCTCCCCAGGGCCACAGCTTCTGAATATTCTGATTCGGGAAGTCTAGAGTCTGCCCCTGAGTCTTGCTTTAAACAAGCTCCCTGGGTGAATTTTCTGTGTGCTGAAGTTTGAGGATCTCTAGGCTAAACTGTAACTCCCACAGGGAAAGAAGCTGTGTCTTCTTTGTTGGCCGTTATATTCCTAGCACCTGGCACTGTGCTGGGCATACAGTGGAAATTCAGCGTGTATTTGCTGAACAAATAAATGGATGAATAAATGAAAAGTAAGGATTAAGTTGCAACAGTGCTCCTCAGAAATCTAATAGGAACCCCAATTAGTATTTCATCTGTCCCTTTATTTATACTTACCATAAAGACACCAAGATAAGCTGAACAGCTAGTCAGTAACTACCATCTCTATGGACAGACCCCTCAACTCCTGCCCTTGTGGGCTTGGAAGTATATCCAGAGGAGATCCTAAAGCATTTGGGTTGCTGATTCAGACTTTATCCCTTAATGACGGTGGAAAAGGAAAGAAGGAAAGATGGAATGCAAAGAAGATGCAGAGCTCTCATCTTGGCTGGAGGTATTAACGATACTCTCCCCTGCATTCCCTGCCCTCTAAGGACCACTCTGCCTTTTTTTTAATGTCCCCTGTTGCTAATACATCTAGCAGGAATGGTTCATGTTATACTTCCTCTCCTTTCCCTTCTCCACCCTCTGGTGGAGGGATCATGAATAGCAAAATGTATAGGAAAAAAACAAATGACAGGAAAATGATGAAAAAATAAAGATTCGGTTATTTTCTGGAGGTAAGACTTGGAGAGTTAACTTAAGGTTAACTACTAGTTCAGATTACAAAAAAGCACATGAAATTAAATCTCAATAAGATGCTTTCTTAGTTTTCAATAAATGATTAGTTAAGGCATCATACCTAAAACCTCTCTGCTCCCTTCGACACTTTTTTACTCAATCCAAATTGGGACAGATATCAGTTTTCCCAGACCAGTGGATCACAGTGGACACAGCCCCAAAGGGTTCGCTAGTCTCAGATGAAAGTTAACAAAGAATCTTACAGGCAGGGTGGAAATTACATTGCCACCATAGCTACCCCAATTGCCCAGTACCCTCTCAGTTCTTGGACACACAGCAGAGTCCCCATTGGACTCCAAGCCATTTAAGAGTAAGGACCTTTTATCATCTGTTTTTCCAATGACCATATCAGTTCATAGCATTGAAGAAACGTTTAAAGAATGACCAAATTCTTGCAGCTCTATTTACGATAGCCAGGACATGGAAGCAACCCAAGTGTCCATCGACAGATGAACGGATAAAGAAGATGTGGCACATATATATAATGGAATACTACTCAGCCATAAAAAGAAACGAAATTGAGTTATTTGTAGTGAGGTGGAGGGACGTAGAGTCTGTTATACAGAGTGAAGTAAGTCAGAAAGAAAAACAAATAACGTATGTTAATGCATATATATGGAATCTAAAAAGAAAAAAAAAAGTCATGAAGAACCTAGGGGTAAGACGGGAATAAAGGTGCAGACCTACTAGAGGGATGGACTTGAGGACACAGGGAGGAGGAGGAAGGGTAAGCTGTGACAAAGTGAGAGAGTGGCATGGACATATATACACTACCAAATGCAAAACAGATAGCTAGTGGGAAGCAGCCGCATAGCACAGGGAGATCAGCTCGGTGCTTTGTGACCACCTGGGGGGGTGGGATAGGGAGGGTGGGAGGGAGGGAGAAGCAAGAGGGAAGAGATATGGGGATATATGTATATGTATAGCTGATTCACTTAGTTATAAAGCAGAAACTAACACACCATCGTAAAGCAATTATACTCCAATAAAGATGTTAAAAAAAATAATAAAGACAGGAACAGTTTGGGGGAAAAAAAAAAAAGAATGACCAAGTTCATAGAAAACTATACACTGGTATATGGCAGGAATCAAGTTCAAGAACCCATATCCACTCACTTCCGGTTCATTAACCACAGTGGATGACATTGCCTGTATCACATTTCAATCCTTCCAATAAAAGGCCAACAACCCTATTAGAGATCAAGTCTTAGGTTGTTAAGGTAACGGTACAGAAGCACCACCTTTTGCCTTAGAATATTTCCTCCAATTTTTGTCTTTTATTATTTTGTCCTGTCAGTCAAAACCTTGACACTAGAATAACAGTTAACATCTCTTTCCACCGAGCTCTGTTGTAGACAGTTCTCAGCAGTATGAGTGAATACACATGCCAGCCATTTATTCTTCTAGATTCCCTAAGCAAATAATCCTAGAGTAATGGATCCCTTTGAGAGGGTGACAAAAGCATGGAGCCTCTACCCAGGGAATAAATTAAAATATGCACATGCATGCAATAGGTTATGCATAATCTCTGGTGGTTTTTAGATACATTGATGCCCACACCTAAATCCTCCCTTGAAAAATTCTCCTTTAAGCCATATTGAAAGAAATGGGAGGTTATCTAATAACCAAATACCTACTCAATATTATTTTAGCTTTCCAGGGAGATAGTTTCACAGAACTACAATTCAACAGTTAAACTTCAGCTCACTTTTAAGGGTAGTGAGTAACACAGTTGACAAGATTTTCAACCTCGGCATTACCAGAATGCAGAATTGCTGTTTTATTTATTCAGTGGGTCACTCCTGTGCAAAATCATGGCTACAATTTGAAGCATTATAAGGTTTTCTGCCTAGGTGCTTTATCAGGCCACTGCCTTATAAAACTCTGAAAATTCCCTTTTATTTCTTGGTAATCTCAGTGAAATTGATCAAGTTACCACGGGATCTCTGTATCTATCGCAGTGCTCAGAAACATGTACCTTGGGGTCACAAGACCACCATTTACTTCTTGGGTGACCCTGGGCAAGTTATATAACCTGTTGCAGCCTTAGTTTCCTCTTCTCTAAAAGGAAGATAATATAGAGCACTGCAGGGCTCCTGTGAGGATTAAACAAACTAACACATGAAAAGCAATTAGTGCGTTGCAGGACCACAGTGGATGTTCAATAAACGGTAATGAATGTTACTATAATTGTCCATAAAATACTTATCATAGTTCTTGACACACAGTAAGTCCTCAGTAAATGGAATCTGAAATAATTATAACTCTTCTTTTTATTGAAGTATAGTTGCTTTACAGTGTTTCAGGTGTACAGCAAAGTGATTCAGTCATATATATATATATATATATATATATACACACACACACACACAAACACATATATATATATACATATATATATATATTCTTCTTCAGATTCTTTTCCATTATAGGTTATTACATGATACTGAACATAGTTCCCTGTGCTATACAGTAGGTCCTTGTTGTTTATCCATTTTATATACAGCAGTGTGTATCTGTTAATCCCAAACTCCTTATTTATCCCCCTCCCCGCTTTTCCCCTTTGGTAACAGTACGTTTGTATTCTGTGTCTGTGAATCTGTTTCTGTTTTGTAAATAAGATCATTTGTATCATTTTTATAGATTCCACATATGTGATATCATATGATATTTGTCTTTCTCTGATTTATTCCACTTAGTATGATAAGCTCTATGTCCATCCATCTCGTTGCAAATGGCATTATTTCATTCTTTTTTATGGCTGAGTAATTGGAATAATTATAATTCTTGGAATTTGCATATACATTTTCTTATGAGTGGTCTTAGGGATAGGGAGAATGCTGAATTCTCAGTCTGAGTGTGTTCAATTCAAATCATGGAGAGCTCACCGGGAGGGGAATGTGGGAAAGCAATGAGGAAATATGGTGCATGCCTTCTGCCATCTACAGCTCAGCAGAAGCCACCATGGCCACAGTGGCACCCAGAGCCTGCAGTGCCAATTTAATCCACTTTCGAGTTGTTCTTGCCCATTCAGCTCACACTTCCATGCCATCAATTCCTATTTGAGCTTAATCCCTGGAGGGAAAATGTCTCTACTGATTAAATTTTATGCTTTCACCTGTCTTCAAATGGCAATCGTGCCACCACACAGGTTTTCTTTTCAGCCCTAGTTGTCAGAAAAACTCAGAATGGTGTTTGTTGCCTGCATTTTATAATGCATTCTGTTCAGATGGCAGAAATTGGCCTCTCCTTTCTCCTTCTTGGGATCACCTCTGTTCTGTTTTGTGCTCAAAGGCCATCCTAAAAACTGTGTAAGCCATCCGTCACTTCAAAGTATTTTGGAAATAAGGCATCAAAGTTTAAATTTTTTTTTTTTTTTTTTGTGGTACGCGGGCCTCTCACTGTCGTGGCCTCTCCCATTGTGGAGCACAGGCTCCGGATGCGCAGGCTCAGCGGCCATGGCTCACGGGTCCAGCCGCTCCACGGCATGTGGGATCTTCCCGGACTGGGGCACGAACCCGTGTCCCCTGCATTGGCAGGCGGACTCTCAACCAATGCGCCACCAGGGAAGCCCGAGGCATCAATTTTTTAAAATAATTATTGGTCATTTCTAAAAATGGGAAACCAAATAGACACCTTCTCAGCTATCATTCCTTATCAAGCTATAGCGACATTTTCTCCTTTTAACTGTGCACAGGAAAGGCGTAAGCACTTTAAGGCACATTCTCTAAGTCAGAACCTTTTATTCTGCGCCTCTCAGAAGTTTCCTAAGTGTGAAACTCTCAATGGAACCAGAAAACCTCTGCGAGGTGTAGGGGAGATGCAGTCAACCCCAGCCCTCGTCGTGCTGGCATTGAAAGTTATCTGGCAGTGAAAAAGCAAACCCATTCTATGAAATGCTACAGGATCTAACATACCAACTGATGGAATCACTCAAAAGGCCCTGGAAATTTTTCTTGGAGGGCTTTCTGTTACGAATACAGATGACACCTTGTCATTTTTTGCAACATCGCCACCTACGTACAGGCCCTCCCTTCATTGGTCGATCGCAGAAAGAAATCTCAGAAATAGAAGCAATTACTTACATCTGTAGGTCATCTCAAAGCTGTCACTGATGTTCACAATATCAATCTGGGGGAGCAGCTTTGGGGGCTCTGTGAGTTGCGACAAAGCAAATCTAAAAGCGGCATGTTCCTGTGACTGCTGGTTTGGAAATAATCCCCCTGTGAGGAAAGAAAATGCAACATGGTATCTGGGCTAGAGACCGGTTTGATTCCTCAACAGCCCCCCCCAGATGGGCCCTTTTCTTCTCCCCAGGCCGTATTCACTAGGTGTTGCCTTTAGTAGTGGGGATCAGAATTCACATAGACTCAACTGGACCCTGAGGCTTCAAGTTCCACAGATGAGCTTTTATGTGACAAGGGCTCTAACACCTGTCACTGACCAAATATTTGATTGTTCACCCCTCAACTCAGTTCCCGTTAGAGAAAACAGGAGCGTTTTGGAGTTTTTCTTCCTCCTTTCTCGTGCAAGCCTCTTAGGCAGCCTATGCTCTTGCATGTACGTAAACCCTAGCCGTGCCTAATTTTTCCTGTATCGGACCCATTTCTCATCACAGAGCCTTACAGGAAGTAGTGCTAATACATGTTACAGAGTAAACTCTAGCTCTGGGAGCCTATGAGCTTCTCCAACACTATAACCGTTTGCTTTGACTTTGACCCTTGTAGTCTTTGACCTAGCAAGACCTGTATGACAATCCTCTAAGGTTTATTCAGTTCCTCTGAAAACTGATTTTCTGCAAACAGTGTTTTGCTGCTTCTTTCACCACTCATGATCCCAGGAACGACTTGTTACATAAGGGATTGCCGTCGTGTTTATTTGCCTGGGAGAACCTTGGGCTTCAAAGCTCTGGGGGCTTAAGGATATCCAGAGGATGCAAACATTCTATTCTAGTAACAAGCAGAGCAAAGGGGCCTGGTGGGGCTCCTGTTCCAAGAAACAAGAGTACACACCTTACCTTTGTATTTACTGTGGACACATAAATAAATTAAAATGCATTTCTGTGAAGTAAAGTCAGCAGTTTCCAGAGACTGAACTATAATGAATGTTTACGTAGAAGTTGATCTCAGATTCCTTAGGAATCCCAATCCCAATGTGACACACTTCTAACTTCTTATACAGTAGATATGTATTTGTTTTTAACAACCAGTAAACAAATTGTAAGGCTTTTGTTAGAGGCAGTACAAGTAGAATCAAGTACTATCTGGTGGCCGCGATATTTTCAGCATGTGTTCTACAATTGAACGTTTCAGCCTTTTATGTGAAAACAAAAACAATGGTTCAATCAGTTGAACAAACAAGTTGGGGCAAAATATGATGAAAAATCTGCAGAGATACATAAGCAAGCATCTCTACGTATACACAAAACACCCTGTGCGTTTATATATCCACGGCAATATACACAAATACACTTGGAGAAAGCAAGTCCTCATATCTTAAGACAAGTATTTCCAATCAGCAAAGTATGGGCAGTACATAAGCACCAACGTAAAGAAGAGCCACACGTAAGAGCAAGTGATTATTTATACATGGTCATATGCCTCCATTTTAAAGGACAAAACCAAAAAATTCTTCTTGATTCTGATGCTCCCCCCTCCCCCCCCCCCAGATGACCACACCCCAAACACTTCCCTGGCTTCCTCCTCCCCTGCAATGAATGAAAGAGAGCGGGTGGGGGTGGGGAGGTAGGTGGCTATAGGCTGGGCTGCAAGAGAAGCGTCCCCAGAGGCAGGAAGTTTTGTTTTGCGTCTAAGGCACTAACACACATATACAGACACACTTCAGAATGTAGCTTAACAGGTGTCAGGAAACAAAGCAAGTTACTCCATGGCTGTTGTAGCCACCCTCAGAGCCAGCACACTGGAGAGGCCAAAAGAGACTGATACTGCCACACATATGTGCCCAACAAAAGACCACCTGCACCACATCCCCCCACAAACACACGCACACAAGAGACACAAACTCCTAGGAACGTGAACTTTCCCTAGTGGAGCAATGTCCGTGTCAGGGGAGAGAAATCAGAACCCAGACCCACCAAGATGCCTCCAAGCAAAGCAGCTTGCTGGATTCCGGGACATAAACAGCCCTGAGATGCTGGTCATACTGAATCCCCGAGCCCTTGTGGACACACGTTGTTATTGGTGTTACTGCTTCTGTTTGTTTCGCTTTCACCCGTTATTATTAGGAGGAGCAATAGCTATCGGCTGCCTCATAAATACAGGGAGGGTGAGGGTCCTTTGAGGAGCGTGACAACCAGGAAGGGGAAATGGGGAACAGAAAAGCATGCAGCATGTTGAAACCTGTGTCCAAGTTGAGAGGCTGGAGCTCAGCGATGGGGAAGGCTAAGAGGAGGGGAGAGGAGCATGTGGATGTGTGTGTTTGTGTGTGTGTAAAAGGTAGACCGTGTCTGTGGATGGAGAAATCTAAGAGGAGTGGGAGATGGAAGGAGTAGGAAAAAAGGCAGGCTAGGAAGTTCCAGAATCGGAGGAGTGGGGACCACCAGCCCAGCATGGCAGACAGCAGACAGAAGGCAGCTAGAAGAGTCCAGAGCAGGAGAGAGAGCCCCCTTCACCTAGAGTGGGGGCCTTTTTAGCATTATTTTAGTGGCTGCAATAAACCCAGCATCCTTCATTCTTTTAGAGGGTCACTTTCCCCTCCCCCAGGTGAGAAATCACCGCCTCTCTCAAATATATATGTGCATATTTAATCCATAATCACACACACCACACATATTTATATAAACAGGTGAAATCGGGCACCATCTACCAAGCCACAGAGTTAACTCCTTAAACACCCACCACCCCTTTCCTTGTTACAGCCTGATTGTTTTTCCTCCAAAGCAGTGGGTCCTCCATTTCACATGCTCACGCCTAGAATGTGAGTGGTGTGTGAGGACCTGTGTCTGCCTGTGTGTGTGTGTGTGTGTGTGTGTGTGTCTGTGTCTGTGTGGGAGCGCACTTCCCTTCTCTGCCCTGCATCCCATCCAGAGAAGACCCCTCCCCATGCCAGCGGTCCAAGTCTTCACATCACCGGACAGCTTTGCATAGACAGCCAAGCAAGACAGCCCGTAGTGGGGCTGGGGGGGAGGGGACACAGACCCCCTCCACCCCCCCCCCAAAAAAAACACAAAAAACTGGCCAGACCCAGAAAGTCCCTCCCGAGGCTGCCCCTCTCACTCACCGATCTGGATATTGTTGGGGAAATTGGCACCTACTACCGCGCCTAGGAAACCGGTGCAGAAGAAGGCAAAAATGTGCTGCATATTCCTTTTTGCATTGGCGAAAAAGAAGCCCAGGTCCAATCATAGATTTGGTGTTTTCCCCCCTTCCCTTTATTCCTCTCTCTCTTCTGCCTGTTCTTTTCCTCCTGCCGTTCCTTCCTTCCTCGCTTGCTTCCTGCCTGCCTTCTGCGAGGTTTGTCTGTTTCCCTTGGAATCCCAGCGCTTAAACTGCAGCGTTAACACCAACTGACAGCCAGATTAACTGAGCACGGAAAAGAGAAGCCTGTCCTCCTGCGAGCTGAGCGCTGCTCCCCCTCTCCCTCTCCTCTGCTCTCCTCTCCTCGCAGCCTGCCTCCCTCTCCCTCCCTTGCTCTCTCGCTCTCCCCCTCACGCTCTCACAGGCAGCCAGCTCTACGCCAGTACCCACCAGCGAGCCAGTTCCCGAGGCTCCCCAGCATCACCCCCTGCCTCTTCATCCTCACCTTAGTCTCCTTGCTGGGTGTGCCGATGGCTGGCTGGGCGGGCGGGTGAGGGGGTGTGATACCTGGAGCCTGCTCGCCCGAAAGGGACAGCCCTGCGGTCCCCTTCGCCCTCCCCCGCCTTCCTCAGCTCTCTCTGCCCCGGCTCCCCCAGCCCCCAGCCTGGCAGATGCAACTGGGAATGTGGGTTCAGCTGCAAGTCAGTAGGTGGCAGGGGGTCCCCACAGTAGTCCTCCATCCACCCGCTGCTTGATCTAGGTCACTTTTTCTGGGAGCGCAAGGTCTGTGCTGGATATATCTCCTGCACTCCACTGGCCCAATTATTCCTACAACTAATTCCTGAGGGAAGACCCTAGAAATCCCTCCTAGGAGCTTTAAAGGAAAAAAGCTACCCACCTCCCATACGGGGAGGAATGACAGAAAGACAGACCCAAGGCTCTGGAAGGCAGGTGTCTTGACTTGAACATTTGGTGGTCCCTGCTGCCTTTACAAGGGGAATTGGTGGTCTCTTCAATCCTGTGCATTTAAGATGAGCCCCCTTCCCCCTTCCCCTGCATTCCAGAGGAATCTATAGCATCAGAATCGTGTGGGTGTACAATAAAGGCTAAGGATACTTACACAGAGCAATTACATGAGTCATTTTGCAGGGATTCTAGTGAGAGGATCCAGGCTTCTTTCAGGGATCTCTGGATTCTGGTCCTGTCTAGAGTAAACTGGAACTCCATACACCTTCCCGGACAGGCGCTTCTGCTGAAACAACCTATAAAGAGGACAGCTGTGTTCAGAGAAATTGTGTGGGTTGCAAAGCAGCAGTCCAAGCAGTCACAGGACTTTACACTTTCTGAACAAGCTTCACAGGGTTACCTCGCTGTCTTCTCATACCAGCCCTGGGAAGTGGCCCTGACTCTTATTTTACAGATGAAAAAAAACAAGGCTCCAGGGATTAAATCATAAAGACATAGATCTGATAAGATGGAGTCTGGACCTTCAGGACCAGCATACAATTCGACCTATGAACTTGAATGCTCTGGAAATTACCAGTTGGCCCACTGCCCTGGTCAGAACTCCCACCCAACAGATGAAAATCCAAGAAAAGGAAAGTCCATTTTTGCTCAGTTAGAACAGGAGAGAATAGACTTTGGACCTAATTTTGCTTTGCCACTTGACTAGGCCATTTTATCAAAAACTCCTCTCTTCCCTCACCAAGATTACATAATCACATACACACACAGGACAAGTGTTGGGATTTGCAAGAAATATCTCACTGTCCATGGAGCCCCTAAACTAGGAACAACTTGGAGGTCAGATGCTTTATGATTTCCTCTGTACTTTCACATGTATTAATTAGCTCAAGTGATTTTACAGCTAATGTTTATTCTTTCGCACGGGCCAGGTACGCTAAGCACTAAGCAGTGTTGCGTGCATCAGTTACTTGTTCAATAATGCCTGTGGCAGGTAATCTAATCCCCATTTTTTTTAAAAAAATTATTTATTTATTTATTTTTGGCTGTGTTTGGTCTTCATTTCTGTGCGAGGGCTTTCTCTAGTTACGGCAAGTGGGGGGCCACTCTTCATCGCGGTGCACAGGCCTCTCACTATCGCGGCCTCTCTTGTTGCGGAGCACAGGCTCCAGACGCGCAGGCTCAGTAGTTGTGGCGCACGGGCTTAGTTGCTCTGCGGCATGTGGGATATTCCCAGACCAGGACTCGAACCCGTGTCCCCTGCATCGGCAGGCAGACTCTCAACCACAGCGCCACCAGCGAAGCCCCTAATCCCCATTTTATAGATAAAGAGACTGAGGCCTAATCATTTACCCCTGTTTCACTGCTAACAGGGAAGAGATTGGGGATTTGAACACAGGAACCTCTACCATCAGGTGCAAGCTATTAACCCTTAGGCTCTAATAGAAGGAAGGACTGGGCAGGGATGTAGAGGCAGTGTCAGTATCAGCTTGGGAAGGTGTGAGAACAGATCAGGAAAGATCACCTTTGAGGTCCCTGCCAACACGCCAGATCTGTGATTCAGTGATGCCATCTTAAAATTTCTCCATTTGCATTTTTTGTCTCTTAGTATTTTGAATGGTACCTGGGGATCTTTTAAGTTCTCTGAGCTTTGTGCCTGGTAATAATAATAATTAGGCTGTCACTGAAAGCTTCACACTTCTGTCACCTTTCAGAGCAAGATCTCAAAGCCCTTCACAAGGATTAATTAGCAAAACCTCAACGCCTACTTGTAATGGGTAAGATTTGCTTTGCTTACTTTGGGGCAGAGGGACTTAACGGAGTCAAAATGATGCATTTTTGATGATCATTATAAATCATATAGTCAAATGGATTTTCCTAAAATATAGCTCTACCTATGTCATTGCCCTGCTTAAGTATGGTCAGTGGCTCTCCTTGGTCTATTAAATACATAATTATTCAATCATCAAGTAAACCCGGGGCTTACATATATCAAGCTTGGGCATCTAGGTCAAATACATTTAGGGTTAACTGTTTATCCTATTTCTATTCTAATGTTGGTAGAGAACCTACTCTGTATCCAACAGGGAGTCAGGTGCAGGGGTTATGGAAGGGAATCAGACACAGTCTCTGCCTCAAGCCAGGTGAACGTGGTGGAGGAGGAATACAGAGGAAACCAGCCAAATGTCATCCAAGGCAGCCCACAACACGTGCTCTAATAGAGATGTAAGCTCGACACTGGGGAGCAAAAGAGGACGCTACCAATACGTCTGTCTGTGGGGAACCAGCAGGGCTTCAGAAGAGCTGAGCTGGGAAGGAGGAAAGGACAGGCAGAAAGTGAGGCCTGAGGGAAGACCTCAAACCAAGGGGAGAGCACCTGCAGGGGCTGAAGGCGGGTGAGGACGCCATATGCTCCATGAGCCTGGAGCCAGTGGTGCAGACTGGGAAGAGAGGGCAGGGAAATATGAAACCTTGAAAAGGCCAGGGTCAGGATTTGGAAGCCACTGAATTCCTGGCAGGCAATAGAGAGCCGTGGGATGTTTTTAGCGTGAAGGTTATATGACCAGGAATGCATGTGAGGACAAAGAGACTGACCACTGGTGGAAGGTGCTTTTCTTATGTCTCAGCCTCAGAGATTGGGACTGTGTATCATACATTCCCTATGTAGCGTATTCTGATGTCATCCTTCATTAGTTTTTTCATACTTTCCCTCCCTACAGCTCCCAATCTATTTGCCATCTCCAGTATCAGTCTGGAAAGACTTGACAGTTCATAGTCTGTTGTGATTGATGACAAACCGACCCTACAGATACATGTTAAACTGTGATTGACACAGCATTTGTACATCTTACATGTCACTTCATTCTCCTAACAACCGTGCAAGGACAGGAATTAGAACCTATTTTTACGGATGAAATATGGCTCAGAGTGGCTAGATGGTTAGCTTAAGACAGTAGTTATCAACGGGCAGGGATTTTTCTCCCCCGGGGGATATTTGACAATCTCTAGAGACATTTTTGGTTCTCACAACTGGGGAGGTGTGATTGGCACCTGGTGGGTAGAGGCCAGGGATACTGCTGAACATTCTATAACACACAGGACCTGCAACGAATTATCTGGTCCAAAATACCAGTGGTGCTGAGATTGAAACACCTTTCTTAAGGGCACATAGCAGCTAGCACACCAGGGACTAGACACCAGCACCGCATTCTGGTCTCCCTCTCCATTATATGACATTGAAGAAAACTGAGATTCATCTTCTTTCAAGACTTTTCACATTTTAAAATGGGATCCCTGGAGATGGGTGTCCCGTAAAGTCCAAATGGACCAGTATCTCATGGAGGGACTCCAGGCGTTTGACAGGCCAGCGGAAGAGCTCTCCTAATGTAGCTCAAATTGTGCCCCAGAGGTAGCATGGCACCCAATCCCCTAATCAATTACGACGTATCCTGGTTCACGTCTTCCACATACTGTAAGTCCCACCACCACGTAGGCAAAATAGCCTCAGGTTGATTTATTTGGCTTTGGCCTTACACAAATCAAGGAGAATGGTGTTGGCCAGGGGGTTCACATTCACACGCCTCCTTGGGCCAAGCCGGGAGATGAATGAAGTGAGCCTCCGCGCTGGGGAGAAGGCAGCGCGGACAGAGAGAACTAGAGCCTACGCGCCCTGTGCAAAGGCGGGTGCAGGGCTCCAAGGCAGCTCATTGCTGCCATGAGGAAATGGAGGCCCAGGGTGGCCAGATCTGATTTTTTCTTTTCTTTCAAAAGAGAGCAGAAATATGGATTTTGTGTGTGGTTTTTTTTTTTTTTAAATATATAAAGTATAACAACTGCTTTGGGCAGAAAAAAATAAAAAAAGGCAGAGGGAAGTGTCTCTGGGCTTGATCTGGCCCACAGGCTACCGAGCGCCAGTTCTAGTTCAGTGGATGGTAACCACCAGCCCCAGTGTCAACTTGGGGACAAGTTCATTTTGTCTCTGGGCCTCTGTTTGCTCATCTGTAATATGACAGGGGTACCTTAGGTGATGGCTACAGACTGTTCTGGCTCTGATACCCTGCGGGTGCATTTGACAGCAGAGGCCCATGGAGGAAGAAAACCTCCCTGGCCTCACATCTCCATCTGGAAAACATGCGGGTTGTACCAAGGTCTCTTCTGGCTTGAATGTTTGGGGCTTCTAGTGTGAAACAATTCAAGGGTGGGGGAAGCCATCAGAATTATGATCTGAGAACACGTCACGGACCGCTAACAGACTGGGTAAATGCAATCAGAGAGAGGGTGCCTCTGTGGCTTTCGAAAGGCCCTGTTTGAAAAGATGTAGGAAAAGCTAATAATGATAATATTTTTCACGTCTTTAGCACAATTCCTACAGAAGGTTTTCAAAATACTC